GGGGTATGTGGTTCGGGCACGGGTTCCACAAGTTTTCATGCTCGGCTGCATATAGGATTTCTGACAAATATTGCAGGCTTCACGTAGGATCTGGGCAGCTGCACTTGGTGAGCAGGAGGCCTGCAACTCCAGGTTTTTTGGCCTTGTTGTTCTTGGGAGCTTCTGGACAATCATCCTGAAATCTGCCTTAAACCAGACATCCAGAAGCCTACACTTGCCTCAGCAAAAGGGTCCCGGGTTATGGATGGAGCCCACCTCTGCAGGCTGACATATTTGAGGTCATTTTCTGCTCCAGCACCCACCCCTAACTGGCCTGGCCTGATATTGGTGCTGCAATTGTTCATCGCGCTCGAACACCAAGCATAACTAGGAAGGCAGGCTTTTGATCCCGTAAGTATAGACTCGTTTTGCACGGCAGTCTTTGCAGCTTCTTCTTTTAAGCTCGGTCTTTGTCTGTCCTGGCCTGCATATACGTATTGTTGCTGGTACATTTTCCTCTCCAACGTATGCTTGCTACCCTGAATCTTAACAGAGCAGAAGCTCCTTTCAGACATGTGCGTGAGCTTTGCAGATCACTTGATGTACGGCCTTGTTTGATATCGTTTTGAATTCTCGTAAAGACTTGTCGCACCTCACTGGCTAAATCCTGCAAAGCTATCAAAGGAATCCTACGCAGATCTTGTTGAACAAAAAGACCGGCTGCAGACCCGGAACCCGAGACACCAGAAAGGGGCCTTCATGGCAGGCTCACGCCACATGGGTCAGTCCACCATTTCAACATCCATGCCCCCCGGTGCGCCTGCAATTTGTGGGGCCTCCTGCGTGAGGTGTTGGACGTTTTGCGTAGTGGGCAGTAGTGGTAGCTGGTGGTGTCAGGATAGGTTACATCAGTCTTTTTGTCCGTGTCTTTACTACCATCATTATGGCAGCAGCCATTGAGATTTGAGTCCTTTTTCGGCTGTTATGCAATATCACATAGCGCGTTTTACAAAGGTACAGCTTCGTTTTCGGCCGGCGCCTGCTCCTCCGCAAGGCAGGCTGTTAACAGATTTCCTGGGGATGGTTCATGGTCAAAGGTTCATTCCAAAAATTCAGGCTGTTTTCGCTGCAGGTTTTTTTTAGCATGACAACTACAGTAGGCTCGGGTGCAAGAAGCGGGCGCGCATTTTCCGAACTGGCTGAGCCGGTTTTGGTATTCACGCATTTAAGGTTTTTCTTGCGGGCTTTGCCACTTGTCTGGCTTGGCTTGCCTTACATTTTGGCTTTGATTTCCCTTCCGTGCCACACTGTGAGCTGTAGAGCACATGGCACCCGCATCAAGACCATCATCATGCAGCAGCGTCTATCCTGCACCGCTTCAACCTTCACGTCTATCAAAGGTAAGTGGAAGGTATCAGAACGGCATTTCAATTGAAGGTCCGCACCAAGAGCTCTTCCGCCTTGCTTCTGATGCGGATGCAAACCAATCAAGAATGGAGTGAGTGTCCTCCTTTGCCCTTTGCAGAGCAATTTATCCAACCAGGGATCTGCGACTTGCAGGATAGCCGCCCCTCAGCGACCCTCAACCCCAGCCGAGAAACCAGCATCTTTTATCTTATTTGCCTTGCAAGGTGTCTTTAGTCATCCTTGGGTGTGATTTAGGTCTCGAGGATAGTTGCCACCATATCAGATTTAAGTTTCCCTGGGTTACCTCCATCTCGAGAAACCTCCACATGATCCCATGTCACGAAGTTACAGCTCTATTGTGGTGCTGACACTCACGATTGGTTGGTTTAGACTGAGTAGATGGGTGGGTGACAGCCACCCACCCAAGTACACATGTTTTTCTCGCAAAGGAGTTCTATGAATCCTTTACATCCGGGGTCACATTGTTTTCACACAAGTGCAGATTTGAGGACAGGCTTCTTCTTGTCCTGAAGCTTCCCAAACTTCCTTCGCAAAATCAAAAGTTGCTCAGGTTTGCAGTCGATGGCTGTTAATACCTTGCAGGTGCACTATAGACCCTTTCAACATCAAGTACTAAACCTTCAATCCCAGGAACCGACTTTGTCGATGGTGCAGTGACAATAGCTGCGAACGGCTCTCCTGCAGCACAGGAGAACATGGAGTACTTGACAGCTAGAAGTTTGCAGGTTTTCTATTTCATCGTTGAGGGCTTGTTGAGGCTGGTCAATGCCTCCGTCCGGAAGCTTTCTAGGGTTCATGTTTCCGCCGCCGCTGCAGCTGCTGATGCGATTGCAGCTGTTGCAGCAGATTCGCTAGGCCTCTTCAATAGGAGCTAGTGGTTTGCCTTGGAATGTTTGCTGTGTTCGGACAGATACTTCTGCTTCCAGCCATTTCCCAGCTGTCAAAATGTTTACCAGATTGCGCTGCACTGGCAAGATGTGTGTGATTGGTGGCAGTTGCACGTGCCGCGAGGATGGCTGCAGTGCTAACACCTATGCCATGACGACGTCCATGTCGGAAGCTCTGTCAGTTTTTGCACGCAACCGCATTGAGCCGCAGATTGTCGAATAGAATGAAGTGCTTCTCTTTCCTTTCTTTTTCTGTTTAGCGATTGCCTGGCTACTTGCGCTGCTGCTTTTGGTTTGTGATTCTCCTGACACCATCTGTATCTCGGAGAGCGGAGGTTGCTGCCACGATCTCTGCCATCTGTCAGTTGCACTTCTGCAGCTGCCACCTGTTGTGCCCATCACTTGCAGCGCATTGGGTGAAACGGGATCACAAAAGGGTGTCTGGAGGAATAGCGTTCCGTGCCGAACATCTGCAAGGTCGTGCAAAAGCTGCAGGGATGCTTGGGGCAATCGCCAGACCTGGCATAGCTTCATCAGCTCCTCTGACGACCGCAGCAAGAGCAGCAGCAGCAGCAGCAGCAGCAGCTGCTGCTGCTGCTGCTGTTGTTGCTGCGTGTTTTGGTGCTATGGCGGCACTTGCATAGCCGTTGTTATGGAGGTGAGAGAAGGATTGTAGTGGTTTGTCCTGTGCTTCCTCCTGCGCCAGTACCGCTCACTCGAAAAGAAGAGTAAATTAGCCGCAGCAGCATTTGTTGGCAATACCGTCAGTAACGGTAGCTTGAGTAGCATCAGTAGCAGAACCTTGCAGCATGGTAGCATTAGCACGAGGAGAATGAGGAAATGGATTAACTACAGTATTGCAGTTGATCAGCAGGAGCGAAGAAGACGCAGCAGGGGAGAATGTGAAGGTGGGGAGTCCAGGCGGTGGCAGCGATAACAACAGCTATGCCAACGACGGCAGCTCTCACCAATGCTACCGCAACCAACAGCGGTGCAACTGGCACAAAAGCCACAGCCGTGGCTGCCGCTGCCGTTGCTGCTGCCGTTGCCGCAGAGGCCCGCTGCGGCCGCTACGGCTGCCGCTGCGACGGCTGCTGCTGCTACTGCTACAGTGGCAACTGCGACGACGTTCTCGACGCAGATGATGGCGGCGACAATTTTGCTGATCATAACGGTCATTGTCATTTTTACAATCATTGCTACAGCGCTGTTGCTGTTTGATTCTACTGCTGGAGTCTCTTCTGCTGATTCCATTGAGCGAAGGTCTGCAAGGAGGCGTTTCCTTCGAGTTGCGGATGGCGACCTGCTGCTGCTCCCGCAGGAGCTTGGCTCGTAGAAGTACATAATGCTGTACTAGAAAGCATTAGCGCGTTGTCAAAGCACACTCGCGTGCAAGGAGGGCTCCCTCCAAATCAGAACAGAGCTGGGGCATTTCCAGGCAGGGAGGCATGTATGAAGTATCATGAAATCTTGACGACTGGCTGTGTGGTGGGGCTTTGTGCTGTTAGACCTCTGAAGAGTTGTGGCATGATGCTGGGCGTTGGGATTTATGCTTTTGTGCTTGGCACGTATGCTAAGAGCCTCCCCCAGGAACAGGTACATCTGTAGGGATGCCTAAGTGTAGAAGACCTTCTGACAATTTCCTTGGAAAATCCCTATGTTGAAGGAGTCACGTCCAGTTTAAGAATTGGTTTCAAGGGGTCTTTGCTGTTTGGGGTTGTTGGTATCTACCCTATTTGCTGGGGAATCGCCGCGTAATACCTGGCAGATCAGTTTGCGTGCTGCTTGCCGAGTTCTTGAATCCTCATTACTCCTCTACAATTGCAGGTAGATCCCTGGGAGCTTGCGATAGCAGAGCGCTTATTGACCAGATGTTTGCCCTTGAGGTTTTGCTGACCTTGAAACAGGGTGTGAGTAGCAGATTTACTGTGCCGTGAGTTGGCGGTAGAACCGTCCATGCGAAGCTAATCTTCATTCTGTACATTTTTCAGGGGAACCTTTGAGGCAAGACAATTTTTCAGCAAGTATTCGAGGAATTGTAGCGCAGACGGTTTAAATCTTTCTGCAGCCCTCGCACGGCCACACGCTGCTTCTATCTGCATTTTCCGGGGTCCATGCTTCGGGCTCAGGGTTGGGGGTGTACATTCTGCAGTGACGCTATGCAGCAGCAGAGCACAAACCCTGAACACTTCTGATTTGCGTCTTTCAAGACCCTTGCTCATCTGCACGGTCAAGTGAGCTCACTGAGAGTACACTCTCCAAGCATGTTCTTAGATGATGTTTCTAAAACCTTGGGTTTCTACCAATCCCCGTTTTGAGAAGTACCTATTGAAGGCTTTCATAGGTCGGACCTGTATCTTTAAGCATAGCTACGTAGATGGGTTGACGGCTTGTGCCACTGCAGTCAGTGACGGGTGCAGGGCGTAGCAGCAAAGTGGGCTGGAATGGCGCTTACATCTCGGATGTCTTCAGCCTCAAGCCTTCCCTTTTATATCAACTTATCGGGGTTGGAATTCCAGCTATCAGACACTACAGTAGTTCTTGGTGCTTTTCCTTCCTACTTGCCGAACCCCCAATCCTGAACTGTAAATCTTTAGCCCTACATGGTACCTAGATGCGAACAGCCAGGACCTGCACACCCTAAATCCCACTGAGCTTTGAACCTTCAATGCTCAAATCCTCGAACCCATCTCGTCTCTTTCCGAGGTCCCGCGAGGCTTGACCTTCCAGGTAGGTGGAGGGTGTAGGGCTTGGGTTTAGGTTCCTGGTCTGAGGTTTAGGGTCAAGGATCCTAATTTGGAAGAGTCGCCGTTTTCTTACTGTCTGAGGGTGGCTGTTTTCTATCCCGCTAGGGCGGTTGACCTTCCTACTTTTCGTATCTTTAAGGGTTCTCCGTCGACTTCGAAGCCGTGTATTAACTTGGCCCCTTTACCCTTATGCCCGAAATACCAAAAGATGAGCCTGACCCTCCCCCAAGCTAGCACAGAATGCTAACAAGAACACTTTCCCAGAGACGGAGAGCATTTGGGGTTCCCGGTAGGTTTCCCGCAGCGCAAACCCTAAACCCTACGCGTCACACCTTAAAGATCTATTCAGATCATGATTTCATCGTGCGATCAGGTCTGCGGAGGCAGTCACCTTTAAACCTGTCAGCACACTCCAGGCAGCCCGTGGATCTCAGCGGATTCTCAGATCCTGATTGTGTGGATGCCTGCAAATCGGTTCAAAAGCAGGCAAGGAAGGAAAAGAACCTGGATTTTCTCAGAAATGGTTCTGATTACCTTTACTCCTGTCCTTTGGTCACACGCCCAAAAAAGGCTTTCAGGAACGCAAGCGATGACTTGTTGTTGACGGCAAGCAGTTCCCACGCTCGCAAATGCACGAGGCTTTCGCTGCACATCATCTTGCTGACACCCGAGCCCCTTTACAGAGGAAGTCAGCCAGACTACTCCTCTACTTTTTCCCGACATGGATCTGGTGGACGAACTCATGTGGGAAGATTTACAGTCAGTCGATAATTAAGCGCAGAAGGGCCCCGCGCCTGGATCAACCACGCGCGGATTTGCTTCCCATATTAAATTACAATGGCGAACAACAACTCTTAGTGTTGGCAGGACCGAAAGATCCTCAGGACTGGAAGGATGCAACCGCGGCCGCGTTTTGCAAAAGAAAAGGTGGGGATTCCGACGCTTCAAATTACAGTCCCATCGCTCTTGTACACACAATGTATAAATTTTACGCCACAAAGATACAGGAGCGTCCGAACAAAAACTGTGATTTGCGTTTGCAACGTACCGCAGCAGGGCTTTTGGCGGAAAAAAGGTGCCTCCCAACCCATGTTTATTCTCAGACGCCTTCAAGACTACTCCGCTCGCACGCGCACGACTTTTCATTGTCTGTCTTCAGATTGGAAACAAGTTTTGGACAAACTTGATCATGATGCAATGCTGATTGTTTTAAAAAGACTAAAGGCATCCATCAAAGGTATTTAGACATACTCTGAGACATATATACGGATCCTACCTTCCACACGGTCGGCCTCAAAGGCTACAGAATCCAGGCTAGTCCACATATGTCCGCATACAGGCATCCGCCAGGGATGTCCTCTTGGTCCGTATCTCGTTATCAGGGTTTAGACGAACACTCTAGCCAATGTCGACACAAAATGCTGCGCATGGGATTCCACAAACACATGGTCAATAGGATAGCCAGTACGCCATTCAAAATATTCAGATGATACCTTACTCTTTGGTATTTCTGCTGCATAGTTGGCACAGTACCTGCGCAATTTACAAGTGGAGGCATCAATTTATGGTCGACAGTAATCCACAACCTCACAAAAAGGGAGCTACTTATACACCGCAAACTCGATTTGGAGACGGTGCAGTCGTCCCTACCTCAGCGGTGGTCAAGTATCAGGTGTTCCCGTCACACGGGTCCAACCCACACTCGCGGAAGAGTATTGGGTATGAAGGCTTCTTCTTATTCCCACATCCCCAAACCGAGAAGATTGGTTGCAGGCAGGCAGGCCCAATTTCCCATCACAGCTGGTGCTTTCACAAAAATTCTGGTTACTCCTCCAGGCAACGCGAGCAGACTCTATCGGACCCGCCTTCAAAGAGAGAGTGAGCCTTCACAAGCACCTTCAAGCAGGCCCACTACCACATGGCTTAATTTAGTCTACTCAACACCTTAGTATTCTGCCAATCAGAAGTATCCAATCATCCTGACAAACGTCGTGATTTTGTAGAACTGCAAGAATATTCGATCACGCCGCTACTTTTTCCAAGAGCCTAGTGGCTGCGCCATCCTTTAAAGTTTTCCATGTTTGCAGGCAGCGTCGGAAGTGCATGGTGTCGTAACCAAGATCTATTCAGGTGGACCTGCCGCCTGGCACAGCGTCCGCCCGGGGGCCGTGACCTCATCTTCCAGGAATAAAAAGTCTGGGATTTAGGCTTCAGGTTTTAGGTTTCTGGGGTTCAGGTTTTAGGGGTCTTTCTCTAGGAAGTCTCAAGTGTGAGGTTTGTCTTGTAAAGGCGTACGCTGGGCTTGGAAGTTAGATTTGTCAATTTTTTTGGAAGGAGATTCGTGGCTGCCCTTTTTTTCACGGAATAGACAGGATATTGACAAGCAGCCTTCTGTTCTCGTGTTCACAAGGTTTTCCTGCAGAAGTCCAATCCAAAGGCACATTCTCAAAACTACGGATGTTTTTTGGGACGTACCTGTAGATAACTATATACGCATGGATTTGTAGACACCTGCCTGGGCCACACCTGGAAGCTTGGAATCCCAGCATGCCTCTGACCCAGATACTTTTTGGAGAACTTTGGGGATCATTTCGTGGTCCCGGATCTGGGTCCGTTCGTGGCTCAGAAGCTGATATTACTTGCCTGTGGCATTATAGTTAGCAGGGGACCCGCTAAGGGTGGACATAGAGTTCCTACTGGTGGTTTAGTGTAGCTTTGACTGCGTCCCTCGCACGGTTCAATGTCTGGCCCTTTGTTCTTTCAGAAAGCTGATCAAAGAACGTGCTGACATGGTTGGACTCACTTAAGTGTTGAGCAAAGCCCAAAAAATGTATTGGTGTAACGCGTATGGATTTGGATGGGGCTTTGCACATAGTGTGGCGCGGTCGTGAGGCGGTACGAAAGGTTAAAACTTGACAAAGTATATTTCACGCCGCTGGGCAAACAACCTCACTGCAGGTCTTTGAGTAGCGCCCATTCCCCAGGTGGCGTAGTATGGTCTTGCTATGCAGGTTTCGCTTGTGCTTCTTTCCATTAAAAAAACCGGAGCTTGGATCAGCGGCGAGAGAAGTTGATCCTTGATGATTGCAGAGGGCTTACGAAGGGATTGTAGGCATTACGGGGCAGTATTACAGAGAGACACTGGGGCTACGTAGGAATTTGAATCCTCTATCAAGGTCTTTGGCATTGAGGAATCATGCCAGCCAAGGGTCCAGTTCTCATAGAGATACCCACGAACGTATTGATTGAGGCGCATGAGGGAAGCTAATTCCACTTTTCAACTTGTGTGTGTATGGACTGACTGCTGGCATTAAGCATCTTTGACAGCAGGGTTAGTTACCTTCAGCAAGAAACAGCAAGTAAACTCACAAGGAATAATCTTCGGTGGAGAGCAGATCTAAGGCATGCATTAAAATGATCCCTTATCATGATAGCCAGCAAATGCGGCGCTCGGTCGATAAGGGTTCAGACAGCTTGCGTGTTCTTCGAGAGCTTCTGTTACACGCAGTCTTTACTCTAAGCCTTAAATCTTGATGATTCACAGGAATTGGGCCATGTCTCCAAGATCTTTGCCCAAACTCAACCATAGACCAGGGTTGTAGCGAGCTTATCATTATGCACGGAAGAGGGATGTGCATCACCAAAAAATCAAATAACAAACTCAAATAAGGATCAAAAAAACCAAATAAGGATTTTGTTAAAAAAACAAAATTTGAGAATATAGAGAGAAATCAAAGGAAAACCGGCCCTCCCAGCCGGCGCATGGGAGGATCAAACAAAAAAACAAAATCCTAGCAGAGAGAAAGGAAGCGAGGAAGCAAGGAAGGAAGGAAGCAAGGAA